TTTTTTTTTTTTTTTTGTTGGTTTTATCAATGACTTGCATGAGGAGAGTGCCTATGCCAAATAATGCCAGAATACTTGTACAATATTAAGTTGTTGACCAAACTGAGCAGCTGAAGGAGGCCAACTGAAAAGTTGATTGATTTTTGCTGAAATCCAATCAAGCGCTCGCTTCGCTGTTTACTTTCAGCGGGGGATTTTAATTTTTTCCGTTCTTTGTGGAGAATAACCAAAATATTGACAAAGCATTTTCCTTTTCTCTTATTAATAATCATTGATAATTTATAATAAGCAACTGATTATGCAGAATTTTCCTCTTTTTTGCTCAATCGGATCGTAAGGACCGGATGGCCAGGGTGGCCGGGGTGGCCAGAGGGGATGGTTCACAGTAGATGGTTGGGGGGTGGGGTTGGGGGGTTGGTTAAGTTAAGCTTTGCTGCGCTTTGAACTAATTTACGCTTGGCGCTGTCGGAACTGAAAGAAAACAAACCGGAAATTGCTATTGCCACGCCCCAAGCCCCCTACATGTGCCCTCCGACCGCGCCTCCCACCACTTCTTCGGCCAATTTATAGCCAAAGGCAACGCCATTTTCGTAGATGACCCAAATTTTCCAAGCCCCAGCCCCGCGCACACACACGCACAGTTTTCGGGCGTGGCAGCTAAGTGTCTGTGTGTCTCTGCATGAGTGTGAGTGTGTGTGTGCGTGTGTGTGTGTAGCATCCAAAGTCTGTCCGCTAATAATTTAGTTACTCTCTGCCTCGCTGCCTTGGCGCAGTGCCTGCAACGCGCGCACACAGCATCCACATCATGATGATAATCATGCTAATGATCATTATAATTACAAGCATAAGCATAATCATTATGGCCTTTATAATTGGCGCAGTCGTCGCTGCTTCTGTTTATAGAGTAAATTATTTGGATCTCTCTCTCTCACTCCCTTTCTCTCTCTCTCTCTCTCTCTCTCTCTCTCTCTCTCTCTGACTCTCTATAAAAAAATTAAATGAAATGAAACTAAAGAGATACAAAAGTATCTCAACTGTCTGCAGCTGTTGGAAAGACAAACAAATACTTTTCTCTTACAGTTTCTTTCTCCCCACTTCAATGTTTATTCAAATCAACTCGTCTGCAACAACACCAATAGCAACTTTTTACTCGTATAACTTAAGTACAACAAAGGCAGAGAAACAAAGAGAAGAAAAAGAAATACGTGTAAATATTAATCATTTAAAGGATGATACCTTTACAAATCAAATACTTGCCATAATGGATCCTCATTTACTTGATTCTCTTTGCACATTCACCTTTATGATTTGATTGATATCAAAACTGATTTGATTAATATATGTATATATATTTCTTTTTTTTTTATTTTCATTAAACAAATATTTATCAGATTGCAAAGGATTTTTACAATAAATGTTTAATTATGGTACTTAAATTATTTATTTTATTTTTATTTTTTTTTAAATTATTTGCCACATTTTTCAAAGTCTCTCTCTTTCTCTCATTAAATTAAATATTTATATTTATTTGTATTTAATTATTATTTTTAATTACCATAGATATATAATAATAACTTCAGTCCAATGAATTCATTTGATTTTCCCCGTAGAAAATAATCAATATAGGTGCATACATATTGGCTGATACTGATTATCCGATTAGAGATAATATGTGTTGTATGCCCTTTTGGCGCACGTAGCTGCTGGCAGGCATAACTTGGCCAAATGTAAGATAATCAGCTTAAACCAAATCAATTAATAATAAATTATAGACCGTAGGCGTTACGTACAGCTTACATCGCACTTCATGGGAGGCCACAGGAAAGAAGAAGCCAAACAAAGCTTTGCCCACGAGCAGTTGATATATATACATATACATATACAAATATATTTTTTTCTTTCGAAATTTTCGCAGAAGCGATTTTTGCTCTCCTACCCCTGCTTTGGGTTATTTTGCCAAGTCTGCGAAAAGTTGTTGTTTTTTTTTTTTCAAATATGGAATGGAGAGAGGAAAAGAAATGCCTCCCACGGACGTGGCTCTCTTTGAGGTGTATTGTTGTGTGAAAAAATTGGCAAAATAAAAGAAAGAAATTATTTACAAACAAGTTTAGACAGCATTCGCAAATGTTATGGCCAAACTTTGCTGTCTGCGTGCCTTTGGTTTCGCCTCCTCAAAATATAAAGAAAAGAAACGAAACGAGAAAAAAAGAAAAGACAAGAAATCGCTGCTGACGACAGCAAACGTAAAGCAGGGAAAACTTGACTACAACCAAGGCTCCCAGGCTCTATCTATGGCTATAGTATAATATGATATGGGTGCAGTCGGCCCGTCAACTTTTACAAACTATAAGTGCCACTTGCTGGCTTTATTGCCCATTTCCAGGCGCTTGACTTTAATGCAATGCTAACATTTGCCCACAGACATCAAGATACCGAACGAGAGAGACAGATAGAGGGCGAGAGGGAGTGGGTGGGGGACGACCTATACAGAATGCAGCTACATCTAATTAACAATATTTAAATTGCAAAACAGCTCCGAGTTTTGGGCATCTTGATAAATTCGATGGCGAAATACGGTCATTAATTTTTTGGCAAATTAAGCGCAATCTACACGAACCCAGCCGCATAATGCGCCATCCATAAGCGGGGAATTTAAATTAGCGAACGGGCCCAACCTGTGCCAACCCAGCCAGCCCACGAATATTTGTCAGGCAGTCAAGCGGCGCAGCAGCAACCACAAGCATCCACAGGCATCCACTCTATCCATATACAAATACATACATACATACATACAAACATACATACTTACATACTTACACTTGCCACGTACTCCAAGCACTGGCTGAAGGAGTTCCCTGGCAGTTACTCCAGTTACAGTCCCGACCTCCCACTTTCCCCCGCGGGCGCTGTGCGCGTGCCGGGGAGCTGCCTGGCTGGCTGCCCAACTGTCTCCCGGCGCGGGCAACTGGATAAGCATCTTCACTTAATACACTGAGTATAACGTCGATGCTCGGCCTGATAATAATGTCCTTTGTGCGATACTCACGATTTCAATGCTTTCCGCAAAATTTAATAAACTCACGGCCCGGCCCATATTGGTTTATTTATAGCTGCATAATTTACAGTTTCTACAGAATTTAAAAACACAAGACATGGAGGTTCTTCCATAAAGAAATCAGTGAGCGGAAAACTTGAAGATAAATTGCAAATTTATTTAGAAAGATTTCATTTTAGGAGGGGCTTTCTATATTCACGCGACGTCTTATTTGTCATAGAGATCTGGGATGGATCTGTCTGAAGCTTTATTTATTCATACTTGTCGAGCTTCCGATGTCTGTTTTTGTTTACTTAACATTTACTGGATGTACTTCAAAATAAAATAATACTCGTGAAAACAATGTAAAAGCATTAGCAGATATTTAAACACGTAGGTCTCCGAGTCAAATTAGGGACTTACGCAGATTAATCCCTGATGCTGTATACTAAATAAACCGTATGGCGTTTACATTGCATTAATATGTGACTGTTGTCGGTGTGTGTGTGGGTGCCTGCATGTGTGTGTGTGTCGTTATTAGTGATACGGCATATTCATATAGTTTTGACAGCACGTACAGCTAAACAAAAACAACAACAACAACAGCAACGAGAAGAGGGAGACGAGCTAGCAATTATGGCCAAGTCAGACAGACAGGCAGGCAGCTCAGTCGCCGTGTGGCGGCGGGGGCTAAAGAGGTGGGCGGCTGCCGGTGGGCGCAGGAGTCTGTGGCTGGTGGGTGGGGCACTGCGTGCGTGCCTCAGACACTTTTAGCTCCATGGCGAATGGGCGAGTAGGAAAGGGCAGCCACAGCCACAATGAAAAACAACAAGCACATAAAACACAAATGATTATAGTATCTAATCATGACGTCGTTCAACAGCGCCCACCCCAGCCCCGTCCCCCGTCCTCATGGAATGCCTTCGAGCGATAGCTACTTCACGTCGCCAGCGCCGTGGCCCAAGCGGACAGTGTAGTTGATGACAGCAGTTCAAAGACTGTCATTTGCCACTGCCACTGCCACAGCCACAGCCACAGTCAGTCGGAGTTTCAGCTAGTGCCACGCTTTGCCAACGCCATTATAATCAGCTGTGCTCCCTGGCAGCCCTAACCCCTCGCCTGCCACCCAATAGGCTATATGTGTGCGGGGCCACACTGCGCGCAATCTGTGTGCTTGGCATTTTAAGTGAATCACAGTTTAGAGTGGATTAGTTGATCATTAGAATATATAATGCTTAAAAAATGTTAAATAGTGAAATTATGAAATGAAGATTTGAATGTACTATAAAATTTGTAGCTGTCGCTCGCAGAGCTATCTATAAAATAAATAAAAAAATATAAAATCTCGTTCTATTGGAGATTCATTTTTTATTTATATAATTTTTTTGTTATTTATTTATTTATTTTT